CGTAATAACTTTATGAGGTGGGTACTATTATTAGCTCCATTTTACAGAGCAGGAAACTAAAGCTCAGAGGAATGAAGTCACTCTCTCAGTGTCGCACAGCTAGTAGAGGGCTTGGCACCATCGTACTCTAGAGGTCCTGGCCTTTTCATTGCGTCAAGTGCAGCAAAGTCAAACTCCCACACACAAATTAGCAACTGTGTCACTTTGGCCCTTTCTCCCATGGCCATTCATACCCAATCCCTACATCCGGGCACGTCCCCGGCTCTTTGCCTCGTCCCTCTCCTGACTGCAACTTTCCTCTTCCTTGCAGAAGCTTCTCTTCTCTCTCCCGCCATGGGTCATCCCTTCAGATTCTAATCCAATTGCCACGTCTCAGCGGACGAGACTTAGTGGACTTGCTCAAGACCACTCAGCCTTGATGTGACAGAGGGGGATGCTGCCTTGCTTAAGTGGTTTTGCCATGACCCGGGAGTCCATGTCATAACTCCTTTGTTTGGATCCAGTAATCAAGAGGTAGCTGTATGTACAAATCTCAGATATACACACACAAACTCAGGCTATCTGAGTAGGTGGTGAGCTCCACATCGTTGGAGGTGTGCAACAGTATCTGGCCATCCTCTTGGAATGCAGGAATGGCATCCGGACGATTCCAGGGTCTCTATGCATTCCTATGCTCTCCTGGATTTTCTACACTCCCTTCTGCCCCTCCCAAGGCAAATACACACTGAATGTGGCAAATTGGTCTTGCTTGGGATGACAAGGGCAAAGGTCTGGAAAAGTAGGGATGTCCTGGGGGCTGGGAGTGAAACTGCTGAATCATCAGTCATTGTCACACTGTCAGCCCTATGTTGCCAGGTTGATTCCCACACTGGGAAGTTGTGAGCTGGCCTAGGGGCCCAAGGTGTGAACAAGCAGATGGGCTCACACGAGCATATGAGCCTGCGGAGGGGTGCCTGAAAATGTCCTTGTGTGTCCTCGGGTGGGCGCAAGGGAAGCTCCGTGTACATATGCACTTTTTCTTAATAATAATTATTTTTTTATTTATTATGGCGACATTAACAAAATCCAATAAGTTTCAAGTGTACAATTCAACAGTAAGTAATATATATATATTGGACTGTGTGTTAACTGCCCATAGTTAGATGTTCTGTTTTATGCCTATACCATATTGTTTTAATTACTATAGCTTTGTAGCATAGTTTGAAATCAGGAAGTGTGATGCCTCCAGCTTTGTTCTTCTTTCTTAGGATTGCTTTGGCTACTCAGGGTTTTTGTGGTTCCAAACAAATTTTAAGATTGTTTTTTCTATTTCTGTGAAAAATGCCATTTGGATTTTACTTATTTTTTTTTATTTTTGTTTTTATTTTTTATTTAATTTATTGGGGTAACATTGGTTAATAAAATTATATGTTTTAAGTGCACAGTTTAATAATACATCATATGTATGTATTGCATTGTGTGTTCACCACCCAGTTATTTATTTATTTTTAAAATTAATTAATTTTTATGGCGACATTAACAAAATCCAATAAGTTTCAAGTGTACAATTCAACAGTAAGGCATATATATATTGCGCTGTGTGTTCACCACTCCTAGTTAGATTTCTTTTGTCACCACACATTTGACCCCTTTTACCCCATCTACCTCTCCCCTCCCCCTTTCCCTCGGGGCATGTCTACGAGTCTGTTTGTCTGTCATGTTTGTTTGTTGCTTTTAGATTTATATCCCGCATATAAGTGATGCCTTGCAGTGTGTCGTGCAGTTTTCAACTTTTTCTGTCTGGTTTATTTCGCTTAGCATTCTTATCTCAAGATCCTTCTATGGAAAACGGTATGGACGAAACAGTCCCGTGCGCGCGCATGGGGAAGTGCGAGGCTGGATGGGGGACTCATCTGTGGACTTGGTTGTGCTCAGAGACCGTCAGTACCTTCCTGCCTCCAGAGAAGACACATCGGACATGTGAGGAAGTATTTCTCCTGGGTTCGTCTCACATCCAGGCATCCTGGCCCGTGGCTGCCTCTAGCCCCCAGTGTAGCTCAAAGCAGTCCTGGGGCCCTGGCCTCCCTCTTGCCACCTTCCCAGTATCCCTGGCTTCTGCAATGTCACCCTTCAGCTCCCCAATGGGTCGCTTCTGGTCCTAGACTCAGGCAGGGCCAGAGTAGAGTTCCGGGGGGAGGGGGGCTGCCTGTGGCAAAAGAGCAAAGACCGCCTGAGAACTGAACCCTGGGGTTTCTACATACGGAAGAACCCTCGTTCTTCACTTTGGTGCCCCTAGTGCATGGTTCACACATCTGCTTCCAACAAGTCACGTGTGTCGACCACGTGCTCCATGCCAGGCGCTTTAAAGACACGAGCTCCCCAAATCGTCATGGCATCTGTGTGAGGCAGACACTGGTTTTGCAGACAAGGAAACTGAGGCTCATAGAGGATCCGCTCGAAGGCACACAGCTAGTAGGTAGGTGGGCGTGTGTCTTGGGTCGGGGGACGGAATTCAAACTGAGGTTTATCTGTATCCCTGCTCCTCGAACCTCTCCAGCGGAAGGGGAACTCCTCGCGGAGTGAGAAGCAGGGGCTCGGGTTCCTATCAGGCCCCTAAGAAGGTGCGATGAGGTGATCCAAAAGGGCAGCCACGGGATCGCTCCCGGGGGGCCTGGCTCAGAGGAGGCAGGGAGCTCACAGCAGCCCTTGCCCTTGACTGGGCTTACAAGCCCAGAAGGCCCGCCTGTCTGACGGGGCCTCGAAGCGGTAGCACTGGAAAAGCAGACACGAAACCCAAGCGTGTGTGCGGGTCTGACAGGCTGCCTCCTAGCCCTGAGATCTAAAACCATGTGTTGATTCGCGTCCGCCACAGCCCTCTGCGTACACATGCACGCACGTGTGCCTTTGCACTGGGTGCATGCTTTTGTATGTCTACATAATGTCGTGTATGTGCCTGGGTCTGCGTGTGCCTATGCGCTTGCGCATAGAAGGACATGCATTTGTGTGCATGTGCGCCTTCTTCTGCATGTGCGTGCAGGGAAATGTGTGAGTTTACATGCTTGTGGCTTGTGTGTGCATGTGCATTTGTGTGTGTTTGGCTCTGTGTGTGTCTGTGTGCATGCTTGAATGGCGTGTCTGTGTGTGTGTGTGTGCGCGCGCGCATAGCTGAGCGCATACATTCTGTGTTTGTGGACACGCACATGAGCGAACGTGTCTGGGACCTAGGGTAGACATCCCTGGGGGCTTTCCTACCCCAGCAACCTGTAAGAGGTTGGCATGGGCTGGGAGTGTTTGCTGGGAGTCTGAAAGAGCAACGTAATCATCTTTTTAGCTCTGTCTCCCATCCTCTCCTCCCCATCCATCCTCACCGCCATCACAGCCTCCTCATCGCCCAAGACCTCTGCATCGCCCAAGATCTCCGCATCACCTGAGACCACTGGAGTGTTTTTCTTAGCAGCATCCATTTAATTATATCGCTACGTCACAAAAATCCCCTCTATCCCCTAACACAACAGCTTTGGCATTTCGTGGATCAGGAAGACAATGTTTCAATAAATAAATAGGGGAACGGTCAGAGTGTCGCAAACCTTTTCATTTCTCCCAGGACAGATATTTAAAAAATCTCTCACTCCTATTTCACAAAAGCGAGATCGTTTGTCCCTCACCCCCACGAGAAGGGTATAATAATCTCCAAATAAAGAACAGTCTTTTGCGTTGAATTAATTTAGCTTTTTGAAAAGTGCACTATATTATCCTCACTTTTCTCTCATCGCATTGCAGAGAAAATCATTCAGGACTCGCTCCGGCTGGGGCCCGCGGACGCACAGGTCAAGTCCAAACCCTGCGAGAGGCAGCCCCTGCTTCCTCCTCGCTACGTCCTCTGCCCTCGAACCCTGCGCTTGAGGCGCATCATGACACCAGCCCTTTCCCCGACCCGCCACCACTTGACTGCCTCCAGAGTCTTGCTCACGAAGTGCCCTCTGCCAAGCATGCCTGGAATGCCCTTCCCCCCTTTCAGGGCTGACAAACTCTCCTCTTCCTCCGAGGCTCAGGCTCAGCCCAGATGTGACCTCCTATGAAATCTTTCCAAGTCCCTTCTGGTGGTGGACGCGATCTCTCCTTGCAAGGGTCCCAGTCCTTCCTCATCCCAGCTTACAGTCAGGCTAGTTATTCGAAAGTCTCGCTACCGAGTTGAAATGTGGGGAGCCACCAAGGACTTAGGGGTTCGGATCTGAACTCTGCCAGGCGTAGCCGAGTGACTCTATGTCCGGCATATAGAGGACAGTGAATAAATATCAGTTCCTTGGTTCTTGAGAGCAGAGCTCATGCCTTGCATGACCGTGTGGGTCCTGTCGTGCTCTGATACATTCTGTGTCCGCGATATAGTAGGCACTCGACAAATATCTACTGGCCGAATGACTACCGTAGTGATTGGCATATGGTAGTAGGTGCTTGATAAAGATTTGTCACTTTTCTTAAAACCTTTCTGAAGACAGAAGCCATGTCCCTTTTTGCCTTTGTATGGTGCCTAGGACAGAGTAAGTACTTGATATTCGTTGATGGAGATTAGTAATAATAAGGATCATAATAATAGTTACCATTACTCAGGTAGAGACATACATGCCAGGCATCATGCTAGGAACTTTACACACATCACCTCTTATATTTGCAAACATTTAATCTACGAACAATAACACCGACCTCATCACCCTATAAATGCCGTGTCGCTATGGTCCTCATTTTGAACCTGAGGAAACTGGGGCTCAGAGAGGTTCAGAATCCTGCCTTGCTGGCAACAGAGGCAAGTTTTATGAAAAAGAGCCAGCTAGCCTACCTAATGTCGTGGGAAGGCAGCAGAAGCTCACACAGCTGGTTAAATGACAAAGGCGGGACTTGAACCCAAGGCTTCCTACTGCTAAGGTGTCTCAGAAGCTTGCGCGCCTTCTGGCCAGCGCGCACTGGTCCCCAGCTGCCTCTGCCTCCGGAGCGCTGGGGTGGGCTGGGGCCGGGCAGCCACTTACCTTCACTTTTCTGAAGCAAGCCCAGAAAACGTCCAGCAGCGGCATGGTGGGGCACGGGGAGCTGGCAGGGCCTGGCAGAGCTGCGCTGGGCACAGGCGTCTCCCTCTCTAGGGATCAGGCTAGAGGGGACCGGGGGCTCAGCGAGAGCCAGCCCTGGCCCTGCGCTCCATCAGCCGGCACTGCGCGGGGAGGGGAGAGGCGGAGAGCAGGGGCCGGGCCGTCCAGAGCTCGGCTCGCCTCCACCCAGGGCGCCTCCTGGAGGGCCGGCCAAGGGAGGGAAGAAGGGAGGGAGCCAGGGAGAGAGGCTAGCTAAGGAGGAGGGACCTGGAGGCGGGTCACTGATTCAAACTCGGCACCGTTAACCAGTTGGCTGTGACTGGACAGCAGTGCCAATTGAAATTCTCTGAGCATGACAGTTCCCAAGCGTGGCGTGTCCAGCCTGCCTGCTTGCCTCCCGCCAAATGACACACGGGCTCTCCCCAGGGGCCCCCGGGTACAACCGAGACCACACGGGCTGAGGA